GGCAGAATGGGTGGTACATTCCACAGCTTCCAGGGAGGCCACTGAGCGCAGGAGGCTGCATTATATTCCGCTCCCTCGCTCTTATTATGCCAAAGCGACCTATACCACCGTACGTTCACGGTGTGTTGAAGGCGCGCACACACGCGTATCGTGTGTCTTGTATCACGGTACGCTCCGTGCATCGTGGTGTAGGATGCTAACCTCCTCCCCCCTCTCACGTACATCTACGATCGGCACAATGGATATATATATTTCCGTGAACACCCGGTTTATACTCGTGCAAGGAGAAAGCATACACGTTTGGTACGCATATTTCTCAAATATGCGAAAGTGTATCTGTATCCGTGTGTTTGTGCATAGGCACGATTTGCGATTCCGTGTTTCGCAAGAAGGGGCCACGAGCAAAACGAATTAGCAACTGGTACTCGAGTGGCTCGGTACGCGAGCGTTGCGGTTCAGTAGTGCGACACGATACATAATCATCCCTTGACGAAGGGAGACGAGGGAGAGTCATTCGCGTTTTCGATTCCTGAAAAGTATGCCCGATTTATTCCCGTATAAGCGTCAGCCCCTGTTTATTTGATTAATGAATGGCCATGATGATATTTACTCTGTCGAGTTATCGTAACGCGAAACGGAGAGAGAGAGAAAGAAAGAGAGAGAGAGAGAGAGAGAGAGAGAGAGAGAGAGAGAGAGATCATCGGCATTGGTCGTGCGAAATTGTTTTCGTATCCTCGGTTCGTGCTACGGCCTTGTCTTCTGTTGCCGCGTTGCGTACTACTACTATATCCACCGCGTGTATTAGTTGAGCTATAGTTGGAGTCCGCACTATGCCGTCCTATAGTGATGCGCCATAGTGGCGTGCGCAGAGAGGATATGAGAAAGCGGTGCCAGAGAGGCTGGGTAGAAATGGAGATAGAGCAGGAGATGCGACTGGAGAGAGAAAAAGAGAGAGAGAGAGAGAGAGAGAGAGAGGACGAGGATGGAGTATGGAGTGGGAGAGAAAAAGCAATAGCATATAGAGTGCGAGGAAGACAGGATTGGGTGGGAGTAACCGAGAGATCGAGCGAGACACGGATATGGAAGTATGGAATTTGTGTGAGAAGCTTGTGAGAGAAGAGGATGCGCGTATTAGTTGACCAGGGGAAGAGAGAGGGAGAGGGAGAGAGAAATACTACTGATGAGAATGGGGAGGAGAGAGAAGGAGCGAGAGAGATGGAGATTGGTTATGAGAATGTATTGGTGTTTCACTAGCAGAAAGGCAGTGTGTTCGTGTTGGTCGTGTTCAAAGTTGTGCGCCCGTATAGGTGAAAAACCGACTGAGGGACAGCGGAGCCGATAGAGAGAGGGCGGAGGTGGAGGAAGGTAGAGGAAAGAGAAAATGAGAGAGTGGGGGAGGGAGAGCGAACGATAGAGAGAGAGAGAGAGAGAGAGAGAGAGAGAGAGAGAGAGAGAGAGAGAGAGAGAGAGCGCCTCGGACCTTTCCCAGAAAGCAGAAAGCACGACGGAGCAATATCGCAGCGTCTGCCGGTGTTGTAAAACTGCTTTGATCTCGTGTCTCGCTCGTTCTCGCGACGTTTTAATATGTTCCGTCTCTATTCCACCGATGGTCCCGCTCGATCCTTCCCCTTCACGGTGGAGAGTTTAGAAAAGCCGACGAAACCCGGGGCCAAGCCGCGTTTTCGGTTCTTTTTGATGAAAATTCGTATCAAGGCCCGATCAAACTGTCCCTTTTGAATGTCCTCGCTTCTGAAAATCTGCACTCGCGGCCCGCCAGAATACGGGAACAAGGGCAGCGACGTTAGGCAATTTTCTACGTGCTCGCTTCGAATAAGGAGAAAGAGTTAATCGAACTCTCGACGACTTTGGGCTTCAAAGAAGTTTGTTTTATTTAAATGTTTTATTTAAAATTTACAAAGGATCGCGTTTTTAGATGCTTAAGAAAAACGATTCGGGAATTTTAATAGTACATAGTACATAGTACAGAGTAACATTTATTATTTTATATCTTTGCTCTATATTGTATACTTTACTTATTAATTCAAAATGAAATATGCAATATTGTATCGTAAAAGTAGCGATAAATATTTGTGTTCAAAAGTTAAACGTAGATTTATTACAACGATAGATTAGGAAGGTGTTCGTTCTTTATCACGATGAAACGTTTTCATCTAGGATGAGGTCTCTCTGAATTCGCAGCTTTCATGCATAAAATTAACGGTACCGGATGTATTATTTAATCATTAAAGGAAATTGCAACGAAAAAACGGGAATAAACGTAATATGAATTCGGTGCACGATTAGGAAAGTGGTACGATTACCGTCTTATTCCTTGTTGTAACTCTTTTACATGATTTTCCATGCACCTGTTCGTCGCGTGTAAGCTTACAAGTCGTGACGTATATATGCTCTCGTGTGTACGGGCTTGAGTAAATATCGTCCAGGAGACGTGCAAAATTTCGCGATGTGGCTCAAGAACGCGACCTTGATATTCAATCGAAACGACAATCGAGGTTGAAAAAAGAAATCGAACACGGGCCAACTTCGATGCTGCTCAATTATATGCTTACGTAACAAATCGTTTATTCGTTTATCGTGATACGTTGAAACGTGCTATGATGTAGCGTAAAATTTCAATGAACCGTAATTGAAAACACAATGGATCGCGTTCCATCTTTTTGGAATGGCATTATTCGTGATTTTGGATAATTAAAGGATCATGTGTTTGATTAATTTTTTCATTGAAATGGCATGTCGCATTTTTTTTCAATATTTAAGAGAAAAGATGAGAGGGGAAGGGGGAAGCGAAATTCATTTCCATCCTATCTGTTCCAAAATCAATGATGCTTGTGCGTCGTTGTATGGACGAGAATGAAGATAAATATGATACAAAATTGAAATTTTCAAATTTAAAATTTTTCCATTTTTCTCATATTTTTTTAACGCAAAAATTATCGAAGATAGTTTTCTTTTCTTTCTTTCAAATTTTAACGTCACATTCAACACGAACATCTGCAAAGCGACGAATGTTGAAGCCATGGTAACAGGATCGAGTCTCCGTGTTCCTTCTGTAGGTTAATGCAGAGGCGAAAAATTCGTGCGAAAGACATTGAGAGAAAGAAGATACTATAACGCGAGTGTCGGTCGCGTAGGGGTGAGAGTTTTTTTTCGCCCGACTCCGTTTTTTGATATTTTGTCGCTGCATGAATGTACCATTACTTTCTTGTGAAAAAAGAAGAAGACAGAAAAAAAGGCGAAGAAGAAGGAGTGGAGAGGAAAAAAAAGGAAAACGGGGGAGGGAAAAAACAGAGAGAAAAACTGAAAGGAGACGAGCACAGGGTTGTCGCTGTACGCCTTCTACTTTCGCAGCGTAGCGACAATTACGGCAGTCGTGCAGCCCCGCGCAAGCGCCACGCTCTCTCGTTCGTTGAACCTCATCCGTGAGAGAGACGCGTGTGTGCGTGTGACAAAGAGAAAGAAAAATATAAATGTGAGAAACGAAGAAAGAAAATCGAGGCGGAGAGAGATAGAACGATAAAGAGAAGATAAAGAAAGAGGATGGAAGAGAGGAAAGGAGAGGAGAGATCGCGAAAGAGAGAGCTGGAGTGTTCGTAGACAATACCGCGCCAATTCTGCAAGCAACGCCACCTATGCAGGACTTTCTACTTTTAAAATGCATTACGTTGGAGCAAGAACCGAGGATCGTGTTGCGCGCATGAATTTTCAAACATCCGGATAGTTGTGCGAATATTTAGGTGACGACTAACCGATTTTTGTTTATACCTTTGTAGAATTAAACTCGAATGATAGATTTTCAACGTTCGAAATCGATTTATCCGATTAATAGAATCTCGAAAAGATAACTAACCTCATATATATTTTTATTTCTGGATATCATCGAGAGAATTCCGCAACGAATCCAGCAGAAATGTCGAATGCAAAGGTAATGATAAGAATGATATAGTCACTTGGTGTACACTCGCTTATGTAACGATGGAAACCTGTTTGGTATACTGTGAATATCCTCTGTATCAGTGGTTTTCATGAGTATCGTTTTTGTATAAATCGGTTTTGTCATTTTGTTTTTTTTTCCTTTTCTCTTTTTCAAATGAGATCGGTTGTTGCAGTCGAGACATTATATCGCGTCTGTTGGACAAACACGGGCATTACCTTGGATGTTTCACAGAGGCTGGTCAATCGTTCGAATCGATAATACGCGGTGATTCTCCGCAGTTACACGCGGGAATCTTCCTATTTCCTGTTTATAAGTAAGGACTCTCGAATCGGAGCTTGAGAGAGGTATACGAAGGCCTACAATTCCCTGTGGATAAACAGAGAGTGTCGCTGTATACAATGTTGTGACCAAGCTTTTCAACGATGATGCTCGATAATCGTCGACTGTCTGTGAGCAAGTGTAAGGAGGTTAATTTAAATAATTTAAAAACTGGATGTTAAATCGTTACATATCTACGACGCTTCTTATTTTTTTCCCCAGCTGTTTTGCCGACTTCATAATGAATACTCTGCTCTACATCGAAAAAATTCAATTACATGCTTCAACGGTATTCGAAAGCTACTTGATAATTCTACTTTTTATAATGAATTATGCTTAACATCTCTTTTCCAGTTGTGTTTTAGAAAAGAGCGAACACAAGTCTAAAACATTATGTATTTAATCTAGAAAAGTTAATAATATCAATCGTTAATTTTACACGCGTGTATATACGCGTAGGCGTAACCTACGCAGTGTGTCTCGATCGGCCACGTATAAGAGTGCGCAGAAAATAGAATTACTCTATAAAGGCCGCGGAATTTCATCGATGTAATCAATGATTGACCGTTGGAAAAAAAATTGACCGTTGGAAACACCATTCACTCGCCCCCACCGTATTATCTTCGATAGGTAGGTTTTCTCTGAAAGGTTTCGGATAAATATTCGTGTTGGAGCCATCCGCAGGAACGAGAGTTTTGGGAAAAAGGCCGAAAATAGAGGCGAAGATTGATCGTGGGGAGTTGAATTCCGTTCGATCGGCCGTTGAGAACCACCGCGTTTCGTAGCACTATACACTGTATTACACATTCACAAACACGCATACTCCTACGTATAAAGTACGCGTGTACCCTTCACTAGTGCAGAGGAGAGAACCGAGGCGAGCCGAAGGTGACCGAGTAGCGGCGCCGAACGGAATCGTCATCGACGCGGCGTCGAGGCAGCTACGCTCACTCTGCTCCGAGCTGTCGAACGCGACGCACGCGCCTCCGCTTCGCTTCCTCCTTCTCTACGAGTTATACTCTCCACATTTAGAGGCATATTTCCCTCGCTTTCTCGCACCGAGTATTATCATCATCATCATCAAACGAGAGAGGAGGCCCGGTCTCGTATCTCTCTCTTCTTCTGGGAACATTCAGTCAGTCTGTTCGTGAACGTCCAACTACTAGTTCTCGCTTCAAGCCCGAATCGAGTATTATTCCTGCTCGTATCGTTCTCGCGCTGTTTGCTTTGGATCTTTCATCGACAAGGTTGTTTCTCTGAATCGCTCTTCTCTCGTGTCTCGCACAGCAGCTTTCGCTCCTCGACCCGTGCTATCTCTTTGTTTCGAATCGCACGAGCACAGAGATGTCTTCCGTTAAAACGTTCCATGTTTAATCTCGCTCGTCTTCACTTCGATCGTCGTCAATTCTCTCTCGGTATTTCATACTCGAGGAAACGAAACGTAAATCGAAATCGAGTTCTCCAATTCTCCGTTCTTTCGTATTTTTTAAAACCGTAATCATTCTTCTTGGAAAAGTTTTTATCTGAACACCAGATTCGTCCAACGATATTGGATTTTTCGCTATCGGTCTACGTGACTTCTCGTAACGCGTTCTCGTCCAATAGACGTTAAGAAGTCGACCCTCGGAGAACTCTTGCAGGCTGGTTCGTCGATAAAATTGGAATCGTTTTCCCCGAAGGAAGCCGTTCGCGTATAGCCCCCGTGCGCACAATCAGACATTGTTGAATGCCGTGCAACTCGAGAGCCTACGCACTACGGTTGTCCTCGATGGAGGATGCCAATCGCTCCGCGACTGATCTCAGGGACGATAGACGGGTTCGAGGGCAGAATGGAGGCAGCTGGAGTTGCGAGACGACTTAAAGGCTTTGTCGTGATAAGAGATTGTCGAGGTCGAGCCTCGTGTTCGGAGGTTCGGGCTTTGCGTGAGGACAGAGTGGTGCGGAAGGTGGGGACGCAAGATCGTGTGGCTCGAAGGTAAAGAAAAAAAAGAGAGGGGGAGAGACAGGGAGAGAGAAAGAGAGAAGGAAAAAAAAAAAAAAAGAAAGAAAGATATTACGAAAGGAGGAACGGAAGACCAAGAACCCTTTTACACCTGGTTAAGTTGCAGAGTTTTCTGGGGTATATAAGGGATACAAGGTGCGCATGGTAACCGAAGGCAGACAGAAACCTCCCCCTCCCCCTCCTTCCCCACCCCACCCCTCTTTTCCTGCCAGCTTTGAATCAATAATCTCCGGCCAGGATTATATGCAGAGTCCCTTTTATATTCGGTGGCCCGATAAGAAAGATATCGACGGATTAAAGTCACGGGGTCCGGGGTAATACGCGTGTGGGATCTGTGACACACGCAAGATCGTGAACAAGCAAGAGGAGGGCTCTCCGGAAAACTATGGAGTAGATTTCGGGATATGCCCGATTTATTTTCCCTCCTCCGTGTCGGCATTCCACTGTGTCTTTCTCCGTTTACCGGTGCGCGGTATCGGCGCGTGGATTATTGATCCCTCCATCCTCCTCTTCGTCCCTTTGCTTATGATATTTCGAGAGCAAAGAAGCAACGCGGAGAATATGATTAGACGCGTTAAAATGATTCGAGACGAGGATAGTACGAGGATTGACGTATAAATGGCATGAATCGATCCTGGTGGTGGTGATGGTGTGATGGTCCATCGAACTTACGGATCTATCATTCTTATATATTTCTTTTCTCGAATTCATTTGATCGTTCATTGAATCTTTTGAATCCATCGGCGACGAGAGATTCAACAGATAAGATACGTTTCTTCTTTAATTCGCGATGTTTCTTTGAGATATTTCTAATTACGATATCACCGATAGCACACTATGATTACGAATTTAACGAATTTTTTGGTGTTTTTTTTTATTCAACGCAGATCAAACGCTCCAGATGGAATCGCCTTCGGCCCAGGACCGTCTTATCGAGGCCCAAGAAGATTTCACCTCGGCGGAAGCAACATCTGCGTCGACTGAGGAACCGTCGACGATCACGGAGACCGAATCAACGGAACGCGACGAAGATGTCGGTTGTTCGATGACTGCCGCCGAAGAGGTGGACGATGTCATCGTTCGCGAATCCATCGATAACGAGGAAACGTTCGTCAGTGTAGAATCGTGCGAGGCTTCGCTCGCTTCTCTCGAGACCTCGAACGACTCTTCGACCGACGAAGGTCGACTAGATTTCTCCGACATGGGTCTTAAATTGGGGAAGAACGAGAAACGATCCGAGGAAGATGAAGGTGAAGATGCGGTGAACGTAGAAGTGAAATCGAACGAATTAATCGTTGAACAAGATTGTTTAGAGGCGGTATCGACATCGACGTCGACATCTACGACGATATTAACTATATGCACGACATCGCAGACAACGGTATCTACAAGCATGGCAGCATCGTTAATTTCATCATCAATGTCGTCGTCGTCGTCGTCGCCATCGCCATCGCCATCGCCATCGCCGTCGCCGTCACCGTCGCCGTCGCCATCGCCGTCTCCATCGCCATCGCCATCGCCGTCTTCGTCGATGATTCAATGCGTCGAAAAACAGACGGAGTATTGCAAAACCAGTGACGGCGAATTCGTCACCTCGTCGCCGATATGTAGAAAGAGACCGGCTAGCGATTTCCTTCCGATCAATGCGGAGATCAAGCGAATCGGCGTCGAGATGCCGGAGAACGAATCTAATCAAGTAAGGAGGATCTCCCCCGTGTTGGTCTCTCTTCGAGAGCGCACCCTCGGTGAGATATCGTTGTCCTCGGACTCGTGTCTGTTCGATAACGACGTCGGAAGTCGATGTGTGCCGAGAAACAACAGGATTCTCGATGATTTGTTAACGAGCACTAACTGTAGATTGACGACGAGCGCGGGTCTAGATGATTCTTTTCAAACGGATCACGATACCGAGATTGCAATAGATTGCACGGACACTGCGGAACGCAGGATCTGCAGAGTAGCGACATCGTTGGAAGGTGAATGTACCAATGGCAGCGTCGAGGAGGCGCTGGCAGAGCAGAGCGAAAAGCTCGAGTACCCGGACCCGTTCATCGACGAGGATTCCTGTTGTTCCCTGTCTCGCGACAGCCCCGAGAGGAATCTTAAAAAGTGTCAGGAGCCGAAACAGTGCGAGGAGCCGATCGACGACGAGTGCTCGTGCAACGACACCATGCCTGCGAACGATGCTTGCGCTATTGCGCACGACGAAACATCTAATGAACTGATAAAAAATTCGTTACCCAATTTAATAGTTAAGGTGGAACAGATCGATTTGTCCCGTTACTTAGCGGCCGAGCGGAAAGATAAGAAGCGTATGGTTATCGTACCTAAGAGGAAGCAAAAGAAGAGTAGCGAATGCAAGGATGATGCCGGTAACGTAGACGTAAGGACTGATCCCAAAGAATCGTTGCAGTGTTTCGTCCCATTGTGCACTTATACGAACGAAAGTGATGAAAAGACTGAGTCACAGGACCAGGAGAAACAAGTAGACTCCGTTGTAGTATCCCCGTTGCAAACGGCACAAGAAAAATTAGAGTCATCTTTCACCACCCCCATTAAGGAATGCAAGGTGCTGTTACAGAGGATAACGTTGCCGAAAGCGGTAAGAACGATGACAACGATACAGACATTGGACAAGGAAGAAACGGCACCGAGGGCGATAATAGAAAAGTTGGCCGAGGACGAGGAGGTCGTGTTTTCCTTCCCTCTACCTTCCTCCACGAATCTGCAAACGTTGAACAATTTAGATTCGATCGAGACGGCGAGACCCAGCTCCCCGGAGGAGTTGTTGGAATCTACTACTACGGATGTTCCAGAAGCTATCGATACGGAAACGGAGACCGAGACCGGTTCCGATAGTTCTGAAATGTCGAGCATGACGAACGTACGCCTCGGTGGATGCGACGATGACGCTGCTTCCGACCAAATATCCTGTCAAGAGAGTGAGTCCATTTGTTGCGTCGACATTAATCCGGAGATCATATCGAGGTTGGAGCCGGAAAGACCGGAAGCTTTCACCGAAGATTCAGCGGAAAGTTTGGCCCTTGCTACCGGTGCACGAGACGAGGTTAGATCGGATGGAAGCGATTCTGGTCTGGGAAGCGAGATTCCTGGTGATCCAGGGCCCGCACCAGTACCGGAAAGCGATTCCGAGACTTCTTTCTTAGATAGGATACCAGATGATATACTTTCCGACAAAGAAAAAGGTAATTATTGATATTATTCTCTGTATAATTTTCCTTTCCATTCGTAGTCAATTTTTTTTAAAGTTTAGAGCAACGTATTTATAATAAAAATATGTTAATTTTTGTTGAAAGAACGTGATTAAGATGATACAAGATATGACGTTCTTTTTCAGCAGTGAATCAATTGGATAGCTTTGTGCCGAACGTGGATGTATCCGACACGCCACAGACGCCATTGACGAATTTTCGTAGTCCTTCGAAGAGTAATCTGAAACGAAGATTGATGGATTGTATGGAAGGGGTTCCTAGCCCAAAGAGAAGCAATACGGACGAATCCATGAAAAAGAAACGCAATATTCAGTTCGACGCAGTCACAGTTTATTATTTTCCCAGGGCACAGGGTTTTACTTGTGTACCTTCTCAGGTATATATGGCGATATAGATTCTATTTCGTTATAAATTTTACATAGACTATATCCGCATTGTACGTATTAATGGTATATAGTACATACGAATATAGCATGCTAAATCGATTTATCCTTCTCAGGGTGGCAGCACTCTTGGCATGAGCGCAACACACACTCATGCTGAACGATTCTCGTTATCGGAGCATGCCGCTGAACAGAGGCGAATTCATCGTGCTAGACTAGCTCAATTACGCTCCGAGCGTGCTGCAAATTGCGTATCGGAAGCAGCCTCCAGTTCTGAGGATCCTAGCGATGATACAGACGAGGAACAAAGTGATAACGAGGATCTGGATATCGATAGTTATTACTTCTTGCAACCAGTGCCTACATGGCAGAGACGAGCTTTACTTAGAGCAGCAGGAGTACGTAGAATAGACGCGGTCGAGAAGGACGAGTGCCGCGATATTAGAGCTAGCAGAGAACATTGTGGTTGCGGGTGTAAAGGATACTGCGATCCTGAGAGTTGTCCTTGTAGTCGAGCTAATGTAAAGTGCCAGGTTAGTAGATGAACATTATACAGAATAAAGAATTTTTTTTTATAAAAAACAAGTAATGACGCGATTAATGTGTTAATAGGTTGATAGAGCGGGTTTCCCTTGCGGATGTACTCGCGATGGTTGTGCAAATAGTTCAGGCAGGATCGAGTTTAATCCGGTACGAGTACGAACGCATTTCATTCACACGCTAATGCGGTTAGAGTTAGAAAAAAAGCAACGAGAAGAAGAAGAAGGCGCGGATCATGACGCTTCCGACAATCAAAACGGTAGAAGTCCGTTAAGAGAAATCAATTTAGGATCCGTGATGGAGAATAGGACCACGGAATCGTGTTTGAATGGCGGTGGATTTACGACGTTGCATTATGAGAATCACGATGCTAGAGACGGAGGGACAAATTGTCAGCCAGAAGTATCTGGTACTAGAGAGGATAGCCTGGATTTGTATGCGATTAGAGATGATTGTTATCCTAGCGAAGATACTGTTGATGGTACGCAGGGACCTCAAAGGAAACTTCATCCTGAATTTAGTCAAGCTTTTCAAACATTCTCAGGCCAAACAAGTGCCGGAGTAAATTTTCAACAACCTGCTTATCAGGATTATCAGCCTTACGCTAATCTCCCTTCCACATCTAGGGTGCAATTTCAGCCGCAATTCCAAACGGTGCCAGGAAATGCAGGGTTCTCACATTATGCGCCTTACGGACAAGATACCGGATCAATTCAGGGGAACTGCCAGGTCCATCCCGGACAACATTCTTCCAGCTATGAAACTAGTTTTGCGCAAGATGAAACAACCGGATCACAATATACAAATTTAAATTCGGTACAACCAATGAATACTGTGGTTCAACAGATGGGTAAACTAGAACCATTTTCTGAACTTTTGTCTGGTAGATATTCGTATTACGGTGAAATGGAGCCTCAGCCGCACAGTACTTATCACGGTAATGGAACCAAGGTTGAGGTAGAAAAGAACCAAGCTAACGAACAGCAATCGGAAAGTACAGAGGAGTGCGATGAAAATTTTGGGGAAATCATAAAAAAATCAATGGTTGAGACTGTATCCGCTTAGGTCAAACTGTAGATACAAAGAATTGTCTATGTGCAAGTCCGTCAAAACGTTTTTGACCCATAGTGATTTATAATGAAAAATAGAGTAATTTCGACAAGTTTTCGTCGGAAACCTCGCGAATAAAAGAAAAAAAAAAAAAAAAAAAA